TTAGGAAAGATTAAATTTATGAAATTTAGAGAAGGTTTGAAATTGAAATAAATTTTGTATACTGTTTATTTGAGTGATGTTTATTTAAATATATTTGCTTGAAATGAAATAGATTTTGGTAATGTCCTTATGTAAACTAAATTGTGTTTAACTTTGATTTTAACATTTAAGTTAATGAAAGAAACTTTTTTTAAAAATAATTTGTGTTAAGTGTTGAATGTTATTGTTTATATCTATGCTTAATTGTAAATGGAAAAGATGAAAAGATTGCTTATATCTATGTTTGTTTGTAATTAGTAAATATAAATGTAAGGAGGCGTGTTAGTTTGGTACATTTCTATTTACCGTATTGGCAACACCAAATTCTCTTCTCTGTGTGTGAGCTATGGATGCCGATGTAATGTTGTGCACGTGTTGTTAAGTTTCAATAAAAAATGTGAAAAGATACGTTTCTTATTTTTCGATTTCCTTCTTCATATGATATCGATTTATTTAAAGATTAAAAGAAAAAAATGAGTGCACAAAATTTGATATTTTGAATAAAAGTATAATAAAAAAGGTCCCCAAAATGGAGTTTCGATCAATTAATTTTTAGACCAGTAAGTGCAATATGAGGTTTCAGTGTTATACCCTGTGAAATCAGTATAACATATATCACCTAATAAAGCATATATTTCTTTGAACTGGTTGAATGCCTTGATTTTTTGTTTGCAAGGTGTTGGTTCATATACTCGTCTACAAAACGATTAGTTTCAGTAACAATTTGAAGCACGAGCAGTTCATTAAAAAATAATTCAAAAAAGATAAATGGGTTTTGAAACATCCGTTATATCTTTCTTTGTTCCTGGAACCTACTACAAAAATAAACGAAAATGGAGGACATAGAATTAAAAAAAAAAAGTTTTATTCAAACACCAGCCAAAACCATGCAGTCATTACTTTCACCGCTTAGACACGCTTCTTTGAAATAGTATCATCCTTCGCATACTTTGTCAAGGTCATTATGGTGTTGCAAAGCAAATAATAGTTTGGAAGGGTGTATATATACGCCTGGGGCAGTAAAGGCATAGGCTTAGCAAGGCGTATATATGCACCCGCAGCAGTCAAGGGGTTAATCGCATCTACCAGTTTTTCATTTTAGAGTATATTAATGAAACTTGCTGACTTGTGCAAGTTCCGTTCAGGGTTCGTAGCGGTCCTTATAAGTGCTTATATTTGAAAATAAAATATAAAGGCCCTTATAGGTGCTTACGTTTTCATTAAAGCCCTTATTTTTTTGTTTTTAGTGCTTTTTTTTTTTTTTTTTTTAAAGAACGAGCTATTTTTCCCCCGTATAACAAAGCCGAAACTAAATAAACAACTTTTCTTCCTAATATGGAATGTCAGATGCTGAATCATACTCCCGGAAATAGCTTTTCCCCCTTTTTCTGCATTAACATAACCTTTGGTGTGCACAAAGAGTACAGACAGGTGCCCGTCGTTCTATTGGTCAAAGAATTGCGAAAGCAGTAGAAAATTCTGGTACATTTGGCATTCTTTCCCTCCCACCCAAATACTACACGTGTTTGAATTTCTATCAAGATCTTAATAATTTGCATTCTCGTTCCGCTTGGTCAGTTCATATTCGTGTTTATTATGATCATTATGCTTATATTATGAGCATATGTATGAATGTTTATAATAACATAGTTGCAGTAACTGCTGAAGTATAGTAAACTTCCAAAAATGGTTGTGTTTTAACACAGATTAGCTTTCTAAGGAATAATATTCGGAATGGCTTAAATAAAGGGAAAGTAATCGAATAGTCAAAATAATTTAATTTTTTTGGCCAATACATTATACAGTACGAAGATTGGGAGGTTCTCCCCTTTCTCCGCAAAATCTCGAATATTGAAACTGTTACAGTTCGCTGCAAAACAAGCAACGGACTTTTTTTTTGTCACTTTCCAATCTGAATTGAATAAGACTAAAAGTTCTCCGGTCTACCAACCCAAGCGAAGAATGATTCTATTCCGGAAATTTAACGCCATCTGTTGAAATTAGAACAAAAAAACAACTGTTATTTAGTTCTTTATTCTCCCAATACCGGCAGCTGTTGATTCCGATTGCATAATATCACGTAGGGAAGAATTGTGGTGCACGTATTGCGCAATAACATTTGCGATATTTTGCAGAGATGATTAATTTTGAAGTTCTATCCGAGATTTGTTTATGAACACTTAAAAGAGTTTTATTTACTGTGCTTGCTAAGCAGAATATTTTTTAGTTCCATTGCTTTATTTTTATATGATGCTGTATCGAAATGTCAAAAGCATTTATTTAGCGGAAAAATCTAAAGAGCGGCTACAGTCAACTCCCCCCTAGGCTCCTCTTTTTCAAGTTACACTTGACTGTTGAATATTCGCCAATTTCCAAGTATGCGGGTTAGTTAATCTTTTACTGTTAAAGGATGACTGCATGAAGCAAATTTCTGTCTTCTGATTTCAGAAATGTTCCTCTTTTTTACTTAAATTACTTTGCTTGCAATCTCTGTTAAGGGAAAACTGATATACAGTCAAAAGTCGTTAATTCGGACACCCATAATTCGGAATGATCTATAATCCGGACCTCAAAGCTACAAACTTTCTGCGCATGCGTTTTGTTCATGCATGCGCACAGGCATTTACAAGTGCGCGTAAGACCTTTACGGCTGCGAATATGTTTGTGCGCATGCGCGTGTAATGTGTAACGGAGGTAAGCTAAAATTATCTAATTCATTTAATGTTGCAGATTGCGTTGTTCTTTAATCTACGAATTGGATCTGGCTTATTATTTTTTGCAGACTGTTAGAGCAATTTCATAAAAGTAAGCTTGAACTTTCGATTATGTCAAATAGAATTTCCGATATATATTTACTAATATGTAATTTGTATCTACAAAGTGAAAGTATGTTTTGAAATCCGAAATCTGTTTATCAATTTCACACCCCTGATTGGAAGTTGATCTGTCAGCACTATCCTTATCTTCAGGGCAGATGTTTTTATTTTATTTGGCTTATAATTCCTTACTAAGTGTAGTATTTCATCTCGATATACTCCATATACTCTACTCCATCCGGAATCGCCGAAGTCCCGACGAGTCCGGATTAACGACTTTTGACTGTACAATGAAAATTTAGAAAATGTTCAGTATTTAGATTTAAATTATTCAAATATTAATATGAGTGGAAAAATGAATTGTATTTATTATTAGGTCCCAAGCGAATACAATAATTTATGCCTTATTATTATTTATTTTCTCTATTTTGAACTGAAATTTCATCATTAAATCTTGTAATATAGTTTAGTTCTGCATAGTTTTTTTTTCTCTCATTGTAAACTAGTTCTGTAAATTGAACTGTTATTTAAAATTTAAAAAAAAAAAAAAAAAAAAAAATTATTTTCCATGGTTGAGGTAATGCTTATTCTCTCTGAATAAATACTGCATTTCTCATATTTTAAATTTCAAGTCTAATTTTTAAGGTTATGCAGTTGTGTATAATGTAATTAGACAGGTGCTTATTTTTTTTTCTTAAAACGTGCTTAAAAAGTGCTTATTTTTTAAACTAAAATGTGGCTATGAACCCTGTCCATTTTTACCACAGTGATTAACAGTGTAATACTTGATATTGAGTTTTATCCAATTTGAAATGTCTTTTGGTGACATGAAAATTAAACCAGTGTTTCAACTTTATAATTCAAAACCACGCTAATATTATTAAATAAAAGATTTTCTTAGCGTCAGAAGTATAAGAAAAATATAAAATTATTCAAAGAATAGAAAATTTAGAATCCTTAATTAATGTTTTGCACATCATAGAGAATTCATTAACCTGAACTGTGCATTGTAAATTGATTTGAAGCTTGCGATGATTAGATGCGATTTTTAGGTCATTTTTGGAGTTGCTTTGAAATGATATTTAGTGCATAGCACAAAAACCTTCCAAAATATTCTGGTTTCTCTAACTTCAGTGTTGGCAGCTATGTAGCAATATATTTTGGTTTATTAGAATTATTTGCAGGGCCAGTGCAGTTTATGAGCAGCAAAATTTGGGCATGCATAGAAAGCTGAATTTGGAGATTGTACGGGGCAGCAAAAAATTTTCTGCCAACCACATTAAATAATTTATTACCCTTTTCCTTGAAGAAAGATGGTCAGTTTTATAGATTATGCTTGTAGTTGTATATCTCTTTTGGCTGTCTTTTATTCTGTTGTCTTAGTTGTTACTGTCTCGCTCTTCATGGGAAAGACAGTATTAAAAAATTAATTGCAGCTAAGAGTCAGTGTCAAAAAATGAGATAAACTAGGTCATGCTCTAGACCTTGTGTTAATATAAATGAAAACAGAAGAGTTTTTGCAGACAACTTTTCTGCTTCGTTAGCTGGAATATATGGTTTAAGTTCATAGTCTTGTAGTTCTAATCAATAGTACAAATTACTGTACTTGATGTTCAGATGGATGAAAGGTTTCTGTTAGAACATGGTTTCGTAGTAATTTCAAGTACTTGAATGTATGTTGAGGCTTGTTTTTATGTGTGAGCTTGGCAGTTTAGAGTATGACCTTATCTCATTCAGGTATTGAGTGTGCTAATTTCGTTGTTAAATTGGTTGACAGAAAGCATGGCTGTGAATTATTATAATTCATACACTTAGTGTTAATATCCAATTTACATTGTGAAAATTTTTGTAGAAATGTGAACTGAATTTTTTAATATTGCACGAAAAAAGTGGGGATTTTTCCATTATGCACCTGCCATACTTTTTGGTGCCCGTGAAAGAGAAGCCAAACACAATCCAAGACATTAACAATAGCATCATCTGGTAACTATGTATGTGTGCCATACTGGTTTGCTAAGTGAAATTTATGAAGCCAGACTGCTTTAGTAGTATATATGTTTGAAGAACTTATTGATAAAATTGTTATCAATTTCATTTTTGTTGTTAAAATGTAATGTATAAAGTTCAGTACTTTCCTTCATACAGATATCACGATGTCTTCGGATCGTAAAGCTGTGATCAAGAATGCTGATATGTCAGAAGAAATGCAACAAGATGCTGTGGATATTGCAACTCAAGCATTAGAAAAATACAACATTGAAAAAGATATTGCTGCTTACATCAAGAAAGAGTTTGACAAGAAATATAATCCCACATGGCATTGTATTGTTGGTCGCAATTTTGGCAGTTATGTTACTCATGAAACCAAACATTTCATTTACTTTTATTTAGGACAAGTTGCAATTTTACTTTTCAAGTCTGGATAGAGAAAATGTCATAACTTCCATTTTTCTTCGTGGTCATGGGACTAACATGGCAGCTCATTGTCATAGTTGAATTTGCTATAAAATGTTTTTGTTCAGTGATCATAATCATTTGTTATAAATATTTATTTCCATATGTTGTACAAATTGTACATTTTGATTTAATATTTACATTAATAAAAATATCATAGCTTGTATGCTGAATGAATTGCTGCTATACCATTACATAGATTTTCATATGTTACTATTTTGAATCCTGCATCTTCGATCATGTACATGAATTCTTCCTAAGGGAAATTTGAAATTAAGAATCTGTTTTTTGAAAATACACAACTTTACTTCTAGTTGAAAAGAAATTACCTGATTAGGAAATTTTTGTATACTTTCTATTAAGTATTGATATGATTTCCAATCCCCTGCTACAATTTCTCCAAGAACAGGTATTATTTCTGTAGAATACCAGTTATATATCCTGGAAGAAAAAAAGTAATGTATAGAATGGCACAAGTATTACAATACAGCAGATAAAAACATTATTTTTCATATATAAAGTGAGAATATTGTTACCTTCTGAATGCTTCACTTTTAACTTCGCTGAACTCCAAACATAAGAAGCGACCACCTGGTCTTAATATACGATGTGCTTCTATAAGTGCCTGAAAATTATACATTGATTTTGTATTTGTATCGTGAATAGAGTTGTAATTTTACTGGAATAATATGTACCTGATCAATATGAACAACATTTCTAATTCCAAATGCAATAGTATAAGCATCAAAACTATTTTCAGGAAAAGGTAGAATTTCGGCATTTCCTTGGATACAAGTCAAATCTGAAACAAATTAAAATTATGATATTAGAATGTAGAGTTGATAAATTGATATGTTAGTTTTTTAAAAGTCCTATATAAATTCACTTATCTTAAAATTTTTCTTTGTATTAGACCTTAGGTACTTAGAATAAACTATTAAGGCCAGGTGTTAGTTTCTCAAATTTTTTCTCTTGTAATTAAACCTGATTGTGTTAGCTTTACTGAAAAGAACTTACTTTTCAGAAGTATCTTTTCTATTTTGTGTTTCTATTTTTATTTCTATTATGAATTCTTACTAATTCATATAAATCAAATTGTAGGAGAAATATGCCAACGTAAAAACTCCAGACACATGTCTGATTATGTTTCAGTTCCTGTGATTTTATAACTATTTTTGTGGTCAAGACGATCAAAATTTTATGTTCAGTTGCTTAATATTGTTATAATGCCTATTTTCCAAACCATGTATTTTAATGAAAATAATAAATGGTGGGTAGAGTTGGAACAACTACTTTAGAAATAGGTTGCTGGGCTTTTCAAGCATGCTATAATAATATGTCAAGTTTAGGACAATTGCAGTCATGGTATCTAAACAAGTAATCTATAAATAAGATTTGAGAAGACTTTAAAAGGCCTTGGTTTGGTTATGACAAAATATTTAATGCCATCTGTCTAGGAGGAAGAAGAAATACTTGTGGAGGATTTTCTAAGGGAAGCTGGCTCATCAGTTTACATATAGCAAAAAAAAAAAAAAAAAAAAAAAAAAATTGCTCATGTAGTTAGTTTATCTAGAGTTAAATAACAGTGTTCAACAACTTTACCATTCGGCCTCTGGTGGGCCAGAAGGGTTTGCTATTTTCATACTGTTCTGTTACTAGAACTGGATTCATGAATTTATGAAAGTGTCTGTTGTATGCATGTGCATTATGTATACACATACATTCATATTTCCATATATACATACATTTCTGAACCCAGTCCTGATAACAGTACTGCCCATTTTGTCATCATTAATGACAATCATAGTCTTGGAAATAATGATTTTTAGTCTTTCATGTTAGGATTCTAAAAAGGTGCCCATAGCATAAATGTCTTGATGATTTATAATAGGCCATTAATGTACCATTTATGTATTCATTTAACTTTGGACAGGCATCTTACGAGCTCAACTTGCATTCCAGTTAAGTACTGCAGTGGGTGCAAACAATCACAGGTAGTGTTAACTGATAGATATGCATTTGGGTAAAAGGAGTTACCAAAACTGGACAAAGGATTAATGTACTGAAATGTTCTTGCTTTGTAATTAGTTTTTAAATTTCCAGTATTTTCTTATTGCTATTGAATATACACATTCTGAATAATAAATTTACATTAATCAGTATTCCGTTTTTTTTGTAAAGTTTTTAGATGTGGAATTCCAGTATGCAAAGCAGTAACCAAATGAATATGCATTCATCCATCATATAGTAACATAATTCTTTTTCATATTTTTATTTCTTGGTATTTTGGTTTTTAAATACATGCCTTGAAAACCGAACTGGATAGTTGCAGCATATATTGCATAGAAGGATGCATAAATTCAAAGATGTGCTGTTTTCAAGATCTCTTCTGATAAAATACAAGTATGAATCAACTTGAGAGACCTATAACTCTATGTCAATAGAACTCCTGGTTTGCCCCATGTATCTATCCCTTTCATCATTTCTAAAAAATAATCCTCTTTGCAAAACTTGGCAAAATACTAGGGTTTATTTTAGCTAATTTTTTAACATGATTTTATAATTTAACAACAAAAAGTATAGAAAATGATAAATATCAAAACTTGAATTAAAAGTAGCTTTTGTTTTCATAAACTAAAACTGAATACTAAACAGCTAAATAAAAGTTGATCATATTCTTCCCTAAGAAATTCTTTCCTGGTTTACAATCAAAGGACTGTTTTTGTGTGCTTTGCTGTAATTATTTTATTATTTGACATAAATCATGCAATTTATTGGTAGCTTATATATATGTATATATATATCAAACAAAAAACCCCTTATTTTGGGCCCAAGAAAAACTTAGTTTTTCATTCAAGTCTGTTGTTATTCAGAAAATGTAAATTCTTATTCTTTTTTATTTAATCTATTTTAATTAACATTGTAAACAGTTTAAAAGCAATAGATGCAGTACTTAAGATTTTTTTAATAGATTTATTTTTATTTTTTTCTGTTTGATTGTTATAAATAAATGTTTAGTTCACGATTTATAATTAAAAATACTAAATATTTTCTTAGAATTGTATATTTTCACTTTTGAAATATACATTCCATTGCCAATATTTGTCTAATATTCTATCAAACGTTTTGCTATTCCACCTGGGTCATCTTAAGAACCTTTCTAGGTAATCGTTAAAATCTACACACTTTCAGACTTTTTTTTAAAAATTCTTAGGCAGGGAGTAAAACATATTTCTCATTCCTATGTCAACAGAAAAAATATTAATTTACTTATATTCAGTAGAAAATAATTAAACCTAAAGAATAAGTTAATTTGATTTTGTGAAATTAATTGATATTTAAAATGTGAAGAAATATTCTAATTAAGAGAATAAATATGTTAAATGAAGAAACTAAATTACAAATGGTGTTAAAAAACAGTTTCGTCGAGTTCATACTTTTTGCAAGAAAGTTTTTTTTTTGCTTTGAAGGTAGTTTTTCCATTCTACCACAATTAAAAAAGACAATCTGGTAATTGAGATTTGACAGTAAATTATTGCTGGAAATAAGAGATACGAGTAAAGTAGTGATTGTTGTTGCATGGTTTTATGTTACACTGTGAATAGGTTTAGTTGTTAATGGCAAAGCACACTAGGTCTATATGAGAGGAACTGTCTTTGGGAAACTTGTTCGTATGCATGTTACACATGGGAAAAACCATGAGAGTGTCCTGCAGCCAACACATCATTTGCCTGGAATTGAACCCAGGTCAGAACTTACCAGTGTTCAGTGATTTTACTCCTCAGCCATTGCACTGTAGAAAACACTGGATTCAACAAAATTGTGAAATACTTCCAATTTTGTGCTGTATATATAAAAAAAAAAAGTAACATGTAATGGTGTTCAAAGCGAAACAATGCAAAATAAACCTGTTATATAATGGGGAATATGTGTAACATATTAAAAAATAGCATGCTAATATACTTTTAATTCTTGGTAACATAAAATTTAAATTAATATTGATATAGCTGAATGTAGCTCATAAACTATATAGCAACACCGTGCAGAGCCATGGCTAGGATTTTTAGCACCCGGGAGCAATGCAAGGTTTTGTGCCCCATCCTGTTTGCCAACAATTTTAAAATTTCATATCAATCTGACACATCCTAGATTCTCTGTCTGGGGACATATATACCTCCAGCTACGTCATGTGTGCCCACAATGGACGTTTTAGTTAAACTACATATCTGGCTAAGTGATAATCTAACCCAAAATGCTAAGTTACCACTATGTATATCACAAACTGTTGGTCAACCAATTCATAATGACATTTTTATTTGTGAACAATTTGATAAACAAATAATATTCTAAATTCTGTTGGCAGAAATAAATGAATTATTTCAACAAAATTTATTGAAATTAAGAGAAATATGAATATTTATTTAGGAGTCAATTCACAGACTCCAAGAATTAAAAATTTTTGTGAAGTTCTTGTTGACTAAGGATAGCTATATTTAAATTTGCTCATTTTACTGTCATCGTTCTAGATATAAGAAAAAATTTACATCTAGATATTTCATTTTAATATTTGAAGTGGGCTAACAAAGTCCTCTGAAGAAGAATTTTAATTCCTTACATAAAATTATGCACATGTCTTCTATTAAGATTATTGGTAGATTACTTAGCACTCTATTGTGAAATAGATATTAGGTATATCCAACATATTGGAATAAAAAGTCATATTAGTATTTATACCTATAAATGATGAATACTGTCATGTTCGGGGTTTGTAGATTTGGAGTGAATGACGATGACACTACTTGATGGAATATCGAAACACACTTTATTTAGCCAATATTAATCAGGACAGCTCCAAAGTCACTTTTCACAGTTGTCAAGATCTCTAAACACGCTGACACAACAGCGGCACAGCCTTCACACTATCAGGCTATTTAGTGGGAGACAGCTTCACTGCAAAGCACCAGAGTACAGCTCCCAACTCTGCTCGGTCTTTCTCGGAACTCCATGTACTCTCTTACTCTCCACGCAGAACACGGCTCCGACTCTTCGGTTAAGTCGTTCCCAGAGCTTAACACGCTCTCGATGATGCACTAACCGCGATACACTGCGAGACTCTTTCGGTGCACTCGGCACCCGATCAACTCCACATGGACTAACTCGAGATACACTATCTTGCACTCTTGATGAGGCACAGTCTCCTGACTGTAGACTTGCAGGGTTTATATAGCTTTCGGCTTGTGTTTGAGAACATTCTGGGCTAAACCGGTAAGAATTCATTCCAGAAGGTTTTCCATCTGTCCATGGCATATTGACCATTTTGTCGCCAAATGGGCGATATCTCGCCAAACGTGGTAACCCTAAAACTGCTTTGTGGGGAAGCCATCTCACCACGCCTCTACATTTCGTAACACTGCCTCCTCCCAAGGACTGCACGTCCCGGGCAGTACAACCCTTGGTCAGAAGCCAAATTCGATACAATCAAATCGCTTTAAAACACACAGATAACTAAAGAAACAAATATTTACATACACAAATTAAACACATCACAATTTTAAATTATACAAATTAAAGTTAAGAATGAATTTTAGTCTCAGTCTTTTCATTAAGTTATACCCGGGTCAAATATTTTTTCACTGTAGTTCTCAGATGTATTTCTGTTTTGCATATCATAATCTGAAGATATAGTCCTTTCAGACTTGTCACCTACAGGGAGATGTGAAGCAGTTTGTTCACCACTCTGTAGTTCATTTGCAGCATGCATACAGTTCACCTCGGTATTTTTAGCAGCTGGTACATACTCAT